CCGCCATGATCCCCCCCCCCCCAGTCATCCCCCCCCTCTTTTCCGCCCCCGAGAGATGCGGCGCGATCATCCGATCCCATCTACTCCGACCCCATCTAGGGCGGAGGAGGAGGAGGAGGAGGAGGAGGAGGAGGAGGAGGAGGAGGAGGAGGAGTAGGAGGAGGAGGAGGAGGAGGGGTCGACGTCGTGAGCCCGCACGGGGGATCCCTCCCGGGGGCCGGGACGGGCCCCCCCGCCGTTCCGCGGGCCTCTCCTGTGGGGCGCGCGCGCCGGGCCCGTGGCGGCGAGGGAGAGGGGCGGCGGCCTCCCCCGGCCTCTGTCGCTTTTTGATCGTCATGGCTTGCAGTCCCAGCTCCCCTCCTCCTCCTCCTCCTCCTCCTCCTCCTCCTCCCTCCTCTCCTCCTCCACCTCCTCCTCCTCCTCCCCCTCCCCCTCCTCCTCCTCCTCCTCCTCCTCCTCCTTCTCCTCCTCCTCCTCCTCCATCTCCTCCTATGCTTAGCACGCTTGCCGTTTCACCCAATTGTCTAGTACGTCTCACAACTTCTGCCAACGCACCTATGTTGTGCATGGCGTCTGTCTGTCTGTCTGTCTCTGCAGTCCCAACATCCTGAACCCAGTCTTCGGGACCGTTCGTTTCTCCTGATTCGTTGACGGTTCCGGGCTCGGCCAGGGCTCCCAGAGGCCGAGAATTGCAAGAAAACGCCCGTTGCCTTCTTTCATGACCCGATCATGTCTGAGATCACTGCCCTGTCCTCCTCGGAACTCTGGCGAATGGCCACCCGTGTCAGGAACTTTTGCATACCGTGTCGCCGAGGCAGCCCCAGCGACACGATATGGATATGCCATGCGAGAGGATAGCCTCTCGCTGCACTCCGTGGGACGGCAGGGGCCGTCTCAGGGGCGCCCCCCAGCTTCTAAGAAGGCAGGGGCCTTCCCAGACGCCTTCCTGGCTTCCAAGAAGCCTTCTTGGCAGCCTCCAGGCCCTTCTGAGAAGGCCCCTGCTTTCTGAGAGAAGCGCACCGCCCTGAGTGCCTAAACCCCCGACGTCCTGATTTGTTCAGAACGTCGAGGTGTCGAATCACTCCCCGGGGCCAATGTTTCATCCCGCGTTGTTTTTTTGTCACGGCTCCCGCAGGCCGGCAAGGGCGCCCAAGAGGCCGAAAATAAGGAATCACCTCCCGCCGCGATTCTTTCTCATGACTCGAGGGGGTCTGGGCAAAGCGCTGCCTTC